AAATTGAGAGCAGTCTTCTGGTAAAATGCCCATTGAAAAATTAACACTGCACGGTAGCTGAAGAAAAATATTTCTATTTGAATCGGATTCGTTTGCTTATTGCCTCACTCCCATGCAAGAGCGTACCGGTACAGAGAGGTCGCCAAAATGCATGGCTCATCCATGGGGTTCAAATCTACATCAAGTCTTCAGTTTTTCGTCCGCGACTTATTCCGATATCGTGTAATGAGAGCCTGATGTCGATCTAGCCCAAAACGAGGCTGTCCCTCACTTTATTAAATGAACTGCTCTTTTTTTCCAAAGAATTTGTGGCAGGGTTGCCAAGTGGGAACTGTGAGCTATTAATCAATCAATACCCATGTTTTCAATGAAGTGCATTGTGCTGAGTTGTTGCACCATAGTTTGAAAAATTGTTTACCTGCGTGAATTGGCCGTAGACAGGTCGTTTTCTGGCTTTGTATCCTCGAGGACGTCGACGAAAAGCACCTTCTTCAAGCAGAAACTCGCAAGTTGTCCGAGATCGTCCACTTATGGCCTTTTCTACCTCTGAAACCAAAGGCAGCATAAATCATTTTCAATCACACTATTAACTTGAGCTGGTGTTGTGCCCTGTTAGTACAACTTGATGTGTACCGAAAGGAGCTAAAATGCCCTCCCCGAGGACGACGTGGGGCTTTTGTCAATTTAGTGGAGTACTGATTCAAACGATGGAAAGTACAAAAATCGTGAGTTCTCTATGGTTCCTCAATTTAGTCAGTTCTTATACTTTTGTAGCTCCTTTAAATGTCTTCATAGATGTGTAATAAAGTAAAGTAAAATAAAGTCGTTGTGCTCAGCCAGTTCACCACTAAGGTACTATAATTCACTAGTGTGATGCTGTCCAACCGAATGTCCTTCCTTCCGAAGTTAGCTGATGGCCTGGGACTCATATGGAAAACAAAAAACTGAGCCGCGTAAGTTCTTTCATTGGCTATAATAATATTTAGAACCACACGCGTCTTGACGATTCCAAGTGGGAGATGAATGCATGGCGCAACATAAAAAGGAAGTGAACAAACTGAAGAAGCGGGTTATGTCGTTCATTTACAGGTAAAGATGAGCTTATCGATATCCCAAAACTACAAGTCCTCTAAAGACGAAAAACACATGCAGAAGCACCGCCGCACAGTTAAGCGGAGGGTGCCTTTTAGAGCTCGGTTTTTCAAAAGGTTAGCGGGTACGACCTTTTACTTTATGCAATTATCCCTTCTTCTTGTACTCAATACTGAAGGTTGGATGATTTCTAAAATATAGCTTCGATTGCAGCTCCGAGAACCATGCGAAGCTCCGGAATGAAGCTTGCGCAAAATTATTCACCAATCTTCGAGCTAAATAAGCAAACAAAATACCATTTCTCTAATTTTCTCAGAGCAAAAGCGAGAAATTCGAAAAGAGGTGGCCATCTTATTGCAAAAAACAAGCTATGGGTCCAATAGGGAGAAAGTATTCGGCGTTAACAAATTGATATCGAGGATATGCCGCACATTCTACTTCCACTCAGAATCGTACTGGCATTTGAGTGATGCTTCCCTACATTATATTTGTGGATGCATCGATATTATTCCAGATGCAACGATCACGGTTTCCACCCTTTTCAGGAGAGACTGGTGTCAACCATTCCAACGAAGGAATGGAATCCTCGGCCGTTCTTAGCAGAATGCAGTTTGGGATCTGCCCCATAGCGTGAGCTTGGCAGAGTGGCACCAACCCACACCACCTCTGCCTTTGGATTTTGGAATTACCTTCATATTTGATGGAATATGTTGAGTTTATCAGTGATATTCTGCACCGCCAGTGGGTCGTTGTGGCTCAATTTAGTCGTGTGGGCAATTTCGGAAGACTGTTGCTCACCGTTCTCCAGCCTCTTTTGGTAGTTTTAACGAAAGCAGTCATTGAGTGAGAGGTTGTGACGAATTGAATTTCTCCAACCGACATATCACCCTGCGAAGAAATCAAAGTTCCTGGAGAAGTGTAAATTTCACCAGCGTTGCTCGCTGTCGTTCGCTTTGAAACTACATTTTCCACAGCAGTCAATTTGAATTTCACTGTTGTCACTAAGAATGCTGGTTTGAACAAAACTTCGCCCCACATGCGGGACTAGAAACCCGGCACTTGTGTCACCTCGTTTGAGTGCGCAACACGTACACGTGTGATATGAAGGCTATAATGGTAACGTATACCTAAAAACCGAATTGGGCAACCGCAATGTGTTCCCGCTAGCTGATAACTGGTATGCCCCCCCGCCGTAGCGCACTTGCCCGGAAAGCGAGAGGTGCGGGTTCTAGTCCCGCCTGGGGCGAAAGTTTTGTTCACAACCCAGCATTCTTGTGAAACATTCGCAAGGCGAACTGCGGCCAAAAACAGCAGTTAACAAACAAAAACAAGTTCTACTATTGATTGAGAAACTGAATTTCTATTCATACTTGGATAGCCATGGCGATTAGGGCGATATAGCTGTATGGCGGTTTCTCTTGTCGTTTTGTTCGATTTTTGCGATTCTTCTTCGACGATGAGGTCACCTGAATGATGAGATGAATGAGAAGATGAAAATAAGGGCTAAAAGGTGAAGAAAACTGATGGCAAGTACCTCTTCTTCTTCGGTCTCTTCGTTTTTTACTGCTAATGGCTCCAGTGAACATGCTAATGACGAGAATGGACCACTGAAAATATACTTTGGAAGTATTACCTGAAGCAGTTTGTCCGGAGAAGATCTCTCCAGTGCCCAAAAAAAGTTCTTGAGGTACGGTTACGGTAACATCAATAAAAATAAATGTCGTCACCTGATTAGAAAAATCCGAAAACAAATTGTGTAAGTTTTTTCAAGGCTGCTCGAATCATACCGAATATTGCCAATTATTTCAAAAATACCAGTTTTTCAAAAGCGAAAGTTCTTTTGAAAATGAGAGGCGATAGAGAGAAAGCAAAACACAATATATGGTTAACCTCGAGGGCTCCCTTACGTTAAAGCTAATGAAGGCTGCAGACGTTTAGGCCTTTTATTTAATCACTACATATCCCACTTGGCCTGACTGACAGCACCTTGTTTGAGTCCACGTGGTTTGAGACAGGGTAACCGTCACTTCTGCACTTTTTCAAAGCAACTCCCTCCCTCACCACCGTAACCATCAGTCTTAGGAGGCTCCCCCTCTACAACCCCTCCCCTCCCTACCAGAACCGCCACTCTCGCTATCATGGCTGTTTCTATAGTAACTGATTCTGAGATTTTGACTTCCTCTACTCCACTTCCCTAAAATTTTCACCGAGTCCCCAAAAAAAACCCGTCTGAATGGCAACCCCTTTCAACGACCTCCGTTCCCACTATGATAACCTTGCTCAACCCCAAAATGCGACCCCCTTCCCGAAATCACAAATGCGACCCCTCGTTCGAATAGTGCGAACGGACGGTTGACCCTGGTTTCAAACTTTACTGCAACCTCAGAGAAAATCAGCAGCATGACTTCCTCGTTACTCAAAAACAGGATGCGGACAAATTATGGAACTGTGCGCTTCTTCAATTTTTTCATTTTTCCTATCATATGCTGCTTTTTGTATAGCACAGCATTTTTGACTTCTCTGCTGTCACAATGCCTAAGCGTCTCATC